ACTGAATTGTTATGGATTGTGCGAAATATTGTCGTGTTGCTTTTTTGACGATTATAACATATTTTTAACATTGATATTAAAACAAACTAATACTAAAATTAAAATATGCTTCTTGTATTTTAGTTTAATCTAAAACTGTAATATCTATTTTATGGTGTAACATATATATATATATATATATATATAAGTATTACTCTTATTAAAAAATTTATACATATAAATCGTAATGGCGTTTGATACGCTTTGTGAATAACGAGATAATTATAAAATAGGCACAATATCAAGAGTGATATTTGAATGATTTTTATTATATGTATTTAAGTAATTTATGATTTATTTTTTGTACATTTCTATTTATTTTTTAAAATTCAAATTTATTTTGTAATTATAAGAGAAATTCTAACGGATTTTCTGCACAAAAATAAATTCCGACACATTCAATTTAAGCGGTTGGTTAAATTTATTCTTAGAATATTTGCTATGCGCGTTGGTCTTTCCGCAGTTAGCATGAAAAGATAATCAGGGAAATGTTTCGCATCTGCGTTATTATACAACATAATGTTGCGTTTATAGTGCAACTAAAGCAAGATACGAAAACGAGAAAAGGAAAAAGAATAAGACAACAAAAAAGAAAAGAAGTACAAGAAAAAGCGAAGTAAGTGAGATTCACTTGTAGCATTTCGCTGCCACTTAATGTAAGTAGTACAGTCAGAAACAGGTCAAGCATTGACATGAGCATTAAAGGTCTTCGGACTTCAATGACATTCGATGGTCTTCGTGCATTTACGAATACGTTGCAGATTGCATACTATTACAAGACATATCAAAGGAGCAATAGTAACCCAATCCCTTGAGTTAAACGCAAATAGGTGAAGAAGACTATATTTAGTCAAGGCTGATACCTAATAATATTTTTGTATACTTAATAAAATTTTACAATTTTAACTTTAAGCAAATTGAGCGCCGATTATCTATTGATTTTGAAACACAGTTATAAACTGAAATTGGAATACGTAATATCTCAAATTAAATTATATAACAAGCAATTTAACCCTTTGAGGACTGCATCTTACTAACATATGAAAGATCATCTTGCTTTTTAAAGATGTTCGTGGTCGCTGAATTTAATTTTGGTTTTAGAATTAAAAAATGAAAATTTTAAACAAATAATCTGATTATTGTGAAACTCGGTTTTATGAGATTTTTGATATCTTTGAGTTTGAATGTGTAGCCTGAAAAAATTAAATGTCAAAAGGATAATAATCTCCATGAAGGAGGATTTAGTGTCACAGAATTCATAATTAGAATTTGAAAGTCAATCAGTACTAACTCTGTATATAACATTGATCTTCAAATACCAATTCAACCGAGGCCTACGATAATATTAATCCTTGGGTTAAATAACATTTTGTTATTTTTAACTTTTATGTGTGTCAAAATGTAAATCAATCCATTTTTGTGATTGTAGTTTCAAAGTAAGCGGTGAATGCAAGAAATATAATGAATTAAATTTTAATCAAATTCAATATATTTTTAAATTAAATTGTATAACTTCATTGTTTTAATTAAATTAACAGTATAGATATTGAGCAAGAGCAGTGACAAAAAATGATTAAAAATAGCTCAAATTGAGTAAATTTGGCATTATATGAATTGAATAGTGTATAATCGAAAGTCTCTCACTTTTTCTCATATTATTAAGAGAATTCTCAGGTGCGACTAAATCGCGAAATAAAAAAAAGTTTTATGATTGCCAATACGCTGTCAATACGAAGACCTTCAACGATATGTGAGTTTTGCATTATCGTAGGCGATATTTCTTTGCGCTATGTTAGCTATAAGTATTTAGAATGCCATTCATAATTGTTCGTGTAAAGGGATGTGAGATCTAAGTCTGATAAATATTATCGGATAATCAAAATGACGCCAGCAGGAAACATCTCGTAAAAGTATCTTCGTATATGTAAGCTAATGTGTTAATGGTAACTTCGGTGGACTTCGGTCTGAAGAAATTATCGATTTGTCATCTTCATAAAACAATATATATCAGATATTTGTGTGCTAGATATTTACACTACTGCACAAAATTGAATAGAAAGTTTGCTGCTATAGAAGAATCAACTGCAAGTTCTCATCATAATTCTCATCGTAAAACTATGGTTGCGAACTGTGGAGCTCTCTGTAAATATGTATTTTTTTCGTATGCATCGAGTGTCGCGTCAGAACAGTCTGAATATAAAACGTGCGATGAATGATGGAATGTTCTCTACTGAGAAAACAAGTCTTCCGCAAATGAAATATTCAAATTAGGCGTATTGGGCGACGTTGTCCTAAAATATCCACCGGAGAAAATGTTACGGTCGAAACTTGAACGGGGTTACGAGGCTAATAAACCTTTTTATTGTGTCATGAAGAAATTCATCTGTTTTATTTCAAAATAAGTTAAGTCTGAAAATCGAGTTGAAACTGTTGTTTTGATAAAAAAATATTATTTATTGAGGAAGAGATATGGAACAACTAAATATATCACAGATTCGTCAAAATATTAGATTAATTCGATTATAATTTTGTTATCAAAAAGTCAACAACTATTATTTACAATACTGTCACCTACTTTTGTGATTATCCGATTTAATTATCTGATGATGCTTAATATTAAAAATACTGAGCGGTTATAATTAACCATTTCTATTTTTATATCAATATTAATTATATTTTTTACGTAAAAAATAAGAATAAAAAATTTTTATACTTTATTAATAATTATGAAGTACACTATTATTTTTGTAATTTTTTGCCTAATATAAAAATTTAATATAATAATATAAAAATATTTACATAATTAGAGATGAAGGTACCAATTTTTATAAAAACGCATAATTTTATGTATTTCTATAAATTGTGCAATTTTTACACATATTATTTTATGTATTTTTGCATACTTTTTTATAATTTAGAGTAGCTCATTATCACTATATTGCAGTGAGCCTTCCCTACCCTGTACCATCCTATAGGTTTCGCAATTGTAAAAAATGATAGATATAGTCTCATGGAATCCCAGTATACTGCTAATTTTCAATATATAGTTATTTACGTTGCTTACACTTCGATTTAATTCACAGTTGCATTAAAAAATGTTCTAATCCCCTATCCGGAATTTTGAACAAAAATATTTGGAAAATCTGGGAATTCTTGGAATTTTTTAATTATGTGTATCTTACAGTATACACATATTTTTATAAAATTTTAATAAACATCCTGTTTGCAGAATGACGTAAATATCGCGTTCGATTTGTCCGCGGTTTGTTTTTGGTTCGATCCTAACATCGGGTCCAAGATTTGCCGCGTGCAATATCCGAGCTGATAATATCATCCGTCGAGCATGACAGTGACAGGCGTCACTATCGATTATGCACGATGCGCATAAGCCGCTCACGATTGTCGATCCGCCACCGTGTATTCCATTTGTACTCGCGCTTGACAGCCGAAGTTCACACGTACTCTCACCTCACGTACGTAAGGAACCTGATTTCACGTGACGACAGCGCATCAATTCTCGCCGGTCATAACACGCGAGCGCGATGGCAGATTTCGATACTTGTAAAATGGTTTCCTTCACGCTACAGGGGTCCGGGGACTTTCCTAGGACGTTTTCAGATGTAAGTCATTTATCTCGAACGAAAGCTCAGTTCGGATATAAATTCGCCGAGATCGATGTATCGCGTTAATTTATATTCACATCTCGTTTAGTTTCTTTGATGATGTTTCTTTGTATAAATCTCAGAATTGTTGCACAAAATTGCCAAACATCCTGCAGATTGTGCGGAGATTGATATTTAATCGCAGTTACGAGAACGTGCGATCCTATTAAGGTGTGTATAACTGTACAGTCGTGGTCAATAATTCCTATTTGCTCGGACTTAGCCGCGTTTTAGGCAAATATAGCTAACTTCAAGCATCACGCATCCGTACCTATAGATATTATAACTTGCAAATTCGAGTAATGTAATTGTACTCAACAATCACGACGTACGTACAAATATTTACTATTAGATACGATGCGTTTGTCTGAAACGCAGCTATAACGTCAAGCGAAAAGGCATTATTGACCGCGAGTGTACAATCAGCGAGCATGTATGCTGTTGCACGTCGTATACACGGATAAACATGTGGCGCGTCAGATATTATAGACATGAGTCGGTTAGTCCGCAACGGCCGATGGATCATGAACGCTGAAACGGAGTAGACGCCTATAAATATCGCTCGTGGAACCGAGAAGAGAAACGCCGATGAGAAACACCGAGATTGACAATAGAAAGGGTGAGAGGGAGAGGGAGAAATTAAAAGAGAGACAGAGAGTGAGAGAGAGGGGTGAGGGATGAGGCGAGAGATTCAGGATAGCCCGAGAAAGTTTTCCAATTTGAAGCAATTAGTTTGCAGTACGGCGTTGGATGGCATGCATCCAGATAATCGAATATAGGTCAACGTCTAAAGCGAGATGGGGTCGAGCTACGATCAGGAGAGGCTGCGAGAAAGATAGAGAAAGAGTGAGGTGGGGAGGGGGAGGAAAGGAGACGAAACGCGAGTTTCCCGAGTGTGTGCACGTGCAACGGGGTGGACCCGTCGCACTTCTGGTATGTCTGACGCGCATAAAACCACGTGGCACAATTCGAGAGACGCCCACCTTAGAATTCTGCCGCGCGGTAATCGATTGACCGATCGTCCCCGATCTACAACTGCAATTGATCGATGCACCGGCCGGCGTCTTCAGACGCCAGTGATAGAGCTCTAAAGTTTTCGTCCTATGTACGTTTGCGGAACCTCGGGAACTCCGGCGAGATGTACGAGAAAGAAAATTGCGGCTATCGCAATCCAAAACGTGCAACGTACGCGCGTTACTTCTGTACCGTATGCAGTTTAGAACAAGTTACAGGAGTTTAGAAAGTAGTTATTAATATTTTAGAAACACAAAACTTTTTTATACTAATATATTTTTTTTATCTCTGTTTACAGAATCCGAAGCCAGTTGGGAGGAATGGTGGACCTACGATGGTATTTCTGGTGAGAATAGATTTCTTTTTTTCCAATTTTATTATTAACCCTCCGGACATGACGGGGTGTCTATGGACGCACTCAATTACCTATAAATTTTTTAAATCAAAAATATCAAATAATTCAATTTTCTTTACGTTACATTTGCAAATTTCCATTATTCTTATTAAAATACATTTAGTATATGCTTAGTATACATTTAGTATATACTTAATATATATTTATTATATGCCAGTTAGTATTCTTTTTTATATCATTTTGGTTCCTTAAAATTAATTAATGCCTAATTAACAAAAAATTAAATGAGTCTTATAGATCTATTAGCGTCAGATTTCGAGGATTAAAGAAGTTAGAAGCTTTGCAAATGTCAGATACTCGTTAAACTGATCTATTTAAACAATATTTTTATTTTTATTTTTAGACCGTATATGTGAGAAACACAATCAATACTAGAAATTTTAAATACCTATTACGGTCGAAGCTGGATCTTCGTTGCTTTAAATAGTTCAATCTTGAATTACTAATATATACTATATATGTACTTGCATATATACTATATTGTAGTCTTTTTCAAATTGCGCGCCGAATTATTTTTTCGGACTAAATAAACGCAATTAAAACTACTCTAGTAATCGCGAATTAAATTGACAAGCAATTTAATTATTTGATGCTACTATCAAGCATCATATATATTATAAAGATGTTAATATATTAAAACTGTTAATAAATTTATTGCGAAAAATATTACCTCGGCCGGGACTTGAACCCGGATCTCTTGTAAACCGTACGAGCGTCCTAAATTAGGACCATTAGACCACCGAGGCCTTAGTAATATTCTTCGCAATAATCGGTACACTAAGGAAACATCGTCTTTCTTTCAGGCGACGTAATCTAAATAATATTTTTATTTTTAATAATTTAATAATGATCTATTTAACTCAGAATAATGATAAATATAAGTATGTTAATTACTATTTTTATTATGTAACATAATGATCATTTATTGTCGAGAAATATTTACCGAGCCTACGATATTTTTTTCACTTTGTTATCGCTTTTATGTGTCGAGTATAATTTCCGCATTCTTTATCTTTTTTAAATTTCCGATTGTCGTACAGTATGATAGACAAAATGAAAAACTTAACCGACCCGTTCCAAATTTGTTCATTTCACTCAAAATTCTCGCAACTTTACTATACCAAATACTAAGGTTTATGTGACATTAATAATAGTATGAATGTATTGAGGACGTCGTGCAAAGTATATCACATAATTAAAATTAGCTTTTGTAATGCAACATTCTTTACATACGATAGTTATATAATTTATCATATTGAGATTATATTTCTTTGTTATAATAACATGAGATCAACTAATTATCGTCAAAATCCAGCTTATAAAAATGTTTGAATAGGATAAACTTTGGTATGATGGCCATAGTTTTTTAAAATGCAAAAAACATACATTTATTCTTGTTACTTTTTAACAATATTTGGGATATTACTTTCACTGAAGTTTAAAGTAACAAATACTATCGAAATTAAAGAGAAAATACTTAATAGAACTTTAATTTTATCAAAATATTACAAAGTATGCTTATCTAATTTTTAGGGCCATCTTATCTGATTTTTAGGGAAAAGATGGCCATGATATTAAGAAAGATAGAGCCATAGTATTTATAAATAAATAGTGAAAATAAAAGTATTACTTATAGATTACATTGCAATTTACGTACCTTTATTGTGTATGTAATGTTGATTATGGCAGCTTAACTGTAATTTATTAGACATTATAACAGTTTTTAGCAGACACGTGTAAAACTTTGCAGATAGTTCAAAGAAAAAATATTAGATAATATTTATAATATTGTTATTTTGAACACACAGTGTACTCATGAACTACTATAAATATTGATTATCTTTAAGAATGACTATATAAAAATGCACTATTTATCAATTGTTGGACAAATTATGGTCTATGGCCATCTTTTCCGTATGGCCATAATACCCTAGTTTACCCTAAAGCTTCGCGGTGTATCGATGCAGGTGCATCATTCGCTAAGTGATTACTATTAAATTCCTGAGAACAGCATGTAAGCGTTTCGCGAGCTTAGTCGGTCGTGCGGCTTCCTAATTTTCTTAATTTTAAGTTACGAGGCCATCGAGTGCCTCCGGGCGCCGGTGAATTTTTTAATCTTGCACCATCCTCTTCCCCTTCGTAGTTTTTATTAAAAATAAGGCGAGCGCGCCGATAAGACTGCACCATGTCGGTCCTGGGTCTTGAGTTTAGTGTTGTTCCGCCATGCGAGCCAGCTGCCACACGAAAAACAGTGCAGTATACTCCGGCGTTCGCATAAAACGCCAAAAATTTCGGCCACTCTCCAGTCGTCCGCTGGCCCTTTCCTCCCGTATTTCCTTCGATCGTGCAAACCCTACGAATATCTCTTCAGCCTGTTGACGTTAGGGAGGAAGTTGTTGATCTCATTTCGGAATTTACGAGCGCCACAGAATTTCGCCATCGATTAGCTCGAGTGCTGCAACAAAATTAAGCTTGCTTCGCAAAGTGCCAGTAATATCGTTATCACAAGCGATATTCTTGCGAACACACAACTTGTCGCGTCATTTTTCTCTGCTAATTCAGACTTTGATCTCTGTGTAATGCGGATGTCAAAAGAGTTTAAGGAAAATGCGAGAATCCACCTTCAATAAAATAAAAGGGTGTATTATCTTTTATTATTATAATATTGTCGACTAACCATCTTTTGTTATTGTTGTCAAAATATCATTTATTAATTTATTATTATAGAAATTTAGTTTACATTTTACCTTAGCATTTTTGCAATTTAATTGCTTTAGAAAGGGTTGTGGGGTAAAAGATTGTTAGTATTATATATACATAAGTATATATATCTTTTAAGATTAAGTATTAATATAAATTAATACTTAATAAAGATTAAATAAGTCAACAACGATCATCACGTTCCGCTTTAATTTATAATTTATTTTAATATTTCATTTACGTAAATTTTTATGAATATTTTAAAGCTGCAGAAGACTGTCGAAACATACAATACTATTACCATCTTTATTAATAAAGATCATCGCACATTAATAAATTAATCGATACTTTCTAATTTTATTGATCTTTCTTAAACATATTTTTTAAGATTATTTTACATTATCGCATTATTATGTTACCTTGGTTTTACATTAGTGGCAAGTCGATCACAAACTTGTTGCGACAGCCAACCTGAAGAACCATTAATTAAAAAATTGTTGCTTCAGATCGACTGTCTCAATAAGCTTACGATTGACTTGAAACTAATGTAGAAGGAAATAAATAAAGTTTTGTGGAGTGTTTAGATATACTCGCTGTTATTGAAATCGATTAGGTGACTTATTACCATAACAGGAGTCGATTTTTAGGATTCGCTGTCTCATATCGTGATCAGATGAGGATTTTCATTTTATAAAGCGCACACCCTCGGTCGCACATTTTGAACTGAACATTACGTATTCTGCTTTTTTCATTTATGCAGGGTTCCCTTCTAGTTGCACCGTGTTCTCTTTTATGTACGAAATCTTTGATAAATTTGGAGACGAGATTTTTTCAGCGAAAATCTGATTACTCGCTGCTTTTTTTGCTAATTTTTTTTTTTATGTTTGACGTTACTACAACATACTCCTAGATAACTTTCAGATGAAAATACTGTCAAAGTACCCTTGAATTTAGCTCCGAAATAAGATCTCGTTTCTACTCCCAGCGTCTCAGAAATTTAATTTTACTTGAAGCGCATTACCACATAATTCAAAATTTTGTTAATGAAAAATTAAGCAGATTGAAGACAAGGTGAAATTATTAACGTAATTTTCCTAATAGCTTTAACAGATATGTTTCTTTAATGTTATGTAGTATATGTTTTATGTGAGTATGAACGTGGAAGGCTGCCAATTTCACAAAGTCTGCGCGAGTGCAGCGTGCATGAACAATTGCATTTCCTCGTGTATTTATGCGACAGCGGAATAATCTAGTTACATTACAACGCAGATTGCAAGTTGAGCACTTATGCTTTTTTCGACCTCAAAATGCACCGTCGCGGCAACTGCGTTTACGAAACGGCTCTGATTTTATGAGCGACGTGCTGCAGTATATGATATATCTTTGATTTCGCCTCGAGGGTATTCGAGCAAACTGCTGGCTGAACTTTGTTACCGTTGTTATATTATAAATGTGAGACAAAGGAAAAAAGAAGTTTTAAGATATATTGCTTCGATTATTCGCGAACATGCCGCGTGTTTCAGATTTACCGGCGCTCTTCTCAACTAGGTTCGGAGATACCGAGAAAAAAAAACAACGTAAGAGTAACTAATTTAATAGAACTCGGCGGCGCTTTCCACGAAATTAAATCGCTAAAATACACTAGTTTACAAAATTTTCGGTAAAAATATATGAAGACTGTTTTTAGGATAATTTTCGACGCTGAACCCAATCTGTCGAAAATTGAAATATTTTCATCAGGTCCGGTTCTTGAGATATAAGAAAAAATTTTTAGGTCCTAGTATAAAGTTTCATCGAAATTAGAAAGCAAGTCAGAAGTGTTTAGTGTTCAATTTTTATTTTTTATATTTTTATATTTTTATATTTTTATTGACTTTGGATCGGTTTTATGTATTAGAATCCAGCATTTTTTAGTCGCCACTTCTAAAAATATATGTTAAATTTAACACATTTCACGCCCCAAACGGTTCACTCAAATTTTTGTGTCAGTTTAACACAAGTTGAATATGTTAGGAAGTAACACAAATGTTATGTAAAAATTATTCAAAACTAGTTTGTAAACTAGTTGTATTGTTTGTGAACTAGTTTGTAAAAATTTTGCCGACATTTATATTTCTGCAGTGAGTTGTTGTACATTGAAAAAATTTACTATATCTTAATAAATATTTCTTGAAATATTTGTAAGTAAACATTTACTGAATATTAATATATATTTATTTGATACAAGAATC